TCAAAAAAAGATTTATAAACGTGTTTCCTAGATTGTTTACTGTTGCAGACAACTTGCAGATGTCAGCTTTTTTCTTTTACTCAGAAAATACATGCAGCTTTTTATTATAATCATAGGTAAGAGCAAGTTAGAGCCTTAAAACTGTAGGTTAAGGGCTTAGCCACGAGAGGGCGCTGTGTCTCTTTCTGGTAACGGACACCAGTTGAGCCCGGAGTGCAGTGTGGGCTGTTCACATCTTGTGATTCCAGTTCATTGTAGGGTTGTCTCTCAGTCTTTTAAAATCTACATTTCCCCTCGGGCTTCAGGTATCACCAATGACATGTATAGGTGACATTTACAGTTTTTTTTTTTTTTTCCTGTAGTCTGGAAGAGGCAGCTTGTCTACAGGGCTCTCGGGGCTTCTCCGAGGAATGGAGTTAGAAGTCATGACTCTGTATTGCACTGTCATAGGTCTCCAGCCTGGCCCATTCTCAACCAGTGTAGCTCTCGGTGGTGACAATCCCCCCGCCCATCTCTCATCAGCACCTGACCTGTGGTAGCACTGTACCTATAGCTAGGAACTTCAGCGCTTGCTTCTCTCTGCCAGCACCAGACCCCAGAAAATCCCCCCTTCTGTGACTCCCTTCATTGGCCTTCAGCTTTTCCTGGCTACTGGCCAACGGTTCTTCACATCCTCTGACTCACTTCCCTCCAGGCAGCACCTAAACATTTTCTTCCTGGCCCTCACACAGAACTAAACCTTTGCCAAGCCCTGTTCATTTCTCCTCTTCGATGTCTAGAGCTTCAGACCTGAGGGCCCCAAATCCTACTTCTACCACTTCCCATCGCTGTAACCACAGGCGGATGCCGTCATTTCTCAAATCTTTGCTCAGCCACTGAGTATAAGGATAACTGTGAGCAGACTCCTTGTTATCCTGAACCTCCATTTCTTCATTTATAAAATAAGGATGTTATACTGGGGATGTTGTAAGGGCTAAAGAGGAGATTCATATGAAGACCTTGGTACTTACAAGTGCCCAAGTTATTGGTTCTTATAAAAACCATTCTAAGCCTCAGCTTCTCTAACTACCCATCCCTCAGGGCTGTATGAAAGTTTCATGCCAAGTCTCCAGGCCTGCTGCTTAACAATGTGCTTCAAGAATTATCTGTGGTTCTGCCATTCCTCTCAGCCATTCTCCCACCTGTGCCCTTAGGGATGCCAGTGAGACCGAAGAGGCAACTACCCACGCACCTCCAACTGAACCTCTGCGGTTAGAGTGGACAGTTTGTCCCCTTTTCTCCCCAGTTTTCTCTGGTAGCAAAACTTTGGGCCTCGAGGCTGGAGAAATGGCTCAGTGGTTAATGGCACTGAATGTTCTAAAGGATGGGAGTTTGATCCCCTGCCCATGTGGTGACTGGTAACTGCCTGTAACTCCAGTTCCAGGGGATCAGGCCTCTTTGGACACTGTGCTTGCATGGTGCATTGATACAAAGGCAGGTAAAAATCCATACATATTAAATTTTAAAAATTGTTGGAGGTTTCTTTTTCATATTATCTATTATGATCATACTATTTCCCATCTCCCAACTCCTCCCAGATCTTCCCCACCTCTCTATTTTTTTTTACATCTCCTCATGCACATTTTTTTAACATGGCAACCTTACTTTATTGTTTTGATCTCTCTAGGCCCTGGCATTTGTTGTATTGATGCCTATATTTCAAGGCCCAGCTCAAATACAGCCTCACCTTCAATAAATATTGTTATCAAGTAGGGAACAGTCCATGCTGGGGTGGTGGTGGGTGAACCACTAAGGGTGGGACAAGTGGGAGGAACTGGGTTTTGTACAGATCTTTTCTCCTGAATCTACGCAGTGGCATTAGAGTTGTTATAAGGTAGGGTTAGCTGCTGCTACCTACTTAGAACAGAAAATTCCAATCACTAAGCAACTGTGCAGGGGGTGGAGGATTGGGAGCCATTTCAGGACACGAGACTGGGAGGGACATAAGACAAAATGCCAGTCCAGTAAATAGCATGGGAGCAGCAAGGGAGAAGAACTCCCTCTGAGTTGGGAATTACTATTCCATGGGTTTTAGGGTCTTTAAGCCCGTGGGGATTTAAGGATTTGTAATTCTATGCTATATAATACTTTAAAAGCAAGGATATTGGGATTCCAAGGATTTTTAAATCCCTATAACCTATGGCAGAAGAAGAACTCGAGCAATTTATGAGCTATGCAATGCTAGGAGCTTAGGACTCAAAACAAGGGTTTCAAACGGAACATTGGACATGTTAAATTACTAATTAATCCTCCTTGGGTTTCAAATCATTCTTGACTTAATCCTTGGAACAGTGTTTCCAAATTGTCTCCCCATGGTCTGGGGATCCTTGAAGGTGTTTCACGAGAGAAAATGAAAGAACCAGCTTACAAGACAGTAACACATGGGAGTGGGTTCTGCACCCACTCCGACCCCACCACCTCACAGCTCGATTTTTCCCTTTCCTGGGACAGCTCCGTTTCTATCTGGTTTACATGTTAGTCTTTTGCATTCAAATCAGAAGAAAGGGTTTCTTGCTAAAGTCTGTTAACTTTTAAAACCTCTGTCCCAGGACAAAGGGACCTCAAATCTAGTGACCACGTGAATGTAGAGTGGTTTAGAAAGCCACAACAGGCCTCTCTTGTGTCTTAATTGTTTATAAACACTGCCAGCTTTGCTTTGACTGATAAGCCATCAAACGATGACAAAGATTAACCAAAGAGGCCTGGGACACACTCATTAGTTAAATAAATCAGTCACCATCACACTCAAATCTGGAAACAGATTCCTTTTATACTTTCAACAATTCCTAGTTCAGGCACTATCATTTTACTGTGATTCCTGCTGGCTTGTGAGTAGTCATCCTATGTGTGAGGGCCTGTGTTGTTTTCTTTATTCCATCTCACTGAATCAGCACAACCACACTGACACCAACTGTCACCCGTCACCTCATAACACGGATTAAGAGAATGGAGCTCAGGGTGGATAAGTAACTCTCCCAAGGTCGGGCATCTGGCTTCTGGGAGATTCCACTTCACTTACCAGAAGGAATCAAATGGGCTGAAGGAATTAAAGTGGTCAAAGTTCAATTGCCTGAGAGTCTTCTTCCAAACCCAAGGTGCAATTTTAACCGACAGATGGCAGCAATGTGTGAGCTTGGTGGCCTACTCCAGACTGTCCATCCCATCTAGGGAAGTCCAGAGCTGGAGGACTATCTCGGGTTGAGAGAGAAGGGAAAGGAAAGAAGGCGCCATTTTGCTTTGGGTTAAGATGCTGTTTGCATTCCCCTTCCACGGTTAAGGAAAGATTCAAGAAAGTGGGCAAGTGGATCGATCCACAGTGCTTCTCCCGAGAGCTGCTTTGAGAACACCTGGGAAATTTTCCTTTATGATTTTCTGAGCCATCTGTGTGTGTGCCGGGGGGGGGGGGAAGGGGGGCTGTGTGCTAGGCTACCAAGTTGCGTGGAATATCAAACACGGGTTCCTGCAAAGGGAAGGAGGAGGCAGGTACTGTTACAGATGAAGCAGTGAGCATGTGAGGTTACCAATCCTAGACTTGGGGACCTGGAGACACTCCCTACAAAGTAGGGTATTTCTATTCAATGAATGAGAGTTTCAAAGGCTGAGAAGAGTGGAAAGCCATTGCAGACAGGAGTTTAAAGCCACAGAGGTGTTAAAAAGTATGCTACACTCAAGGGCAAGCAAAACAAATTTTAAGGGCAGAGAGATGACTCTGAAAAGACAGGCAGAAATTGCATGATTAGCACTGGGAATTGGGGCATACACCTATAATCCCAGCAGTGGGGAGTTAAGATGAGAGGACTGCTGGGAGTTTGTAGCCAGCCTGGGCTAGATAGTGTGAGAACAACTAGGGATATATATCCAAGACCTTGTCTTAAAAAAAGAGCCACAAACACAAAAACAGATGATTAAAGCTGCACAGCCTCATGGTAATATGTGCCCCCCCCCAAAAAAGAGTAAACTATAAATCTAGTTGTTGGTGAAGCAAGAACATGACCTGATTTAGTAGACCATGTGCAGACAGATTGTGAAACAAAATGCTGGAAGTGAGAAAATGTGTTGAAGAATAATTGGGACGGGAGTAAACATGACGGCCCGAGCTATGGTAGATACTGAGGGAACCAAACAGATACAATTGACAGAATTTGGTGGGTGCCCAAGTGTTCCTCCTCACACGTGACAACAGCCCCCGAGGGCTAAGTGAGAAAATCCATCTCACCTTTATCTGAGTCCTCATCCTCTACTCACAACCCTTGAGCTGCCTGCCCCATGGGGGGGGAAGGCCGGGGGGGGGGGGCATCTTTTTCCTTTCTTTTCTGAGCTGTCCTTGAAGTTTAGTCAAGCCTGACTCCACAAGTGAATAGAGACAGCCTGGCTTGAGGTTTTGTCCCCAGGATTCCATTCTCAGAGAAGAAAAATCTGTCAGCTGACCTCAGGTAGAGGTAGAGCAAGGAACTGACCTCCGCCTATGGCTTCACAACACGGGCAGAGTTCAGTTAAGAAAACAGAGCAATTCCCAGAAAAAGGCAAACATCATTCCATTTATTTTTCTCCTGATTCATCTTCTGCCAATACCCAGACTGAATGAATAGCAGGCAAAGTGGATGCAGGTCCCCAGACAAGCAGATTCTCAAGATGCCTCCTTATGTTCCATCCCCTCCCCTCCCCTTCCCTGGAAGTGCCCCAGTATTGCTTAGGTCTGGTGTTAGTGTCTCTGGAGAGGAAGCTGGCTCATATGGCAAACACAGAAAAACGGGGGGGCAAAGGGGGAGTGGCTGCTCTCTTGTCCAAGGGCATCCTCGACCCTGCTCTACTTCCCATGGGCTTCAGTAATCAAGTCTTCCTGATCCCCTTCCAGGTCTCAGGAACCTCCTCCTGTTGGCACAAGAGCAGCCCAAACAAGAACATGCCAGAGGCCTAGACTCGCAGGCCCATCAGGAGAGCCAGGGTGAGCTACACAGCCTGAGGACACTGGTTCCAGTTCAGAAAATCTGTGTCTGGAGACTCTTAGCTAATCAATGCCCTTGGAAACCCACCAAGTGTAACTGGGACTGCTTCAGTTTGGACAGGTCAGGGGTGGCTCAGGGGAATGAGCTGTGGCCTTGTGTTCTGTGGCCTCTGGTACCCTCGCACCCTCTTCTGACCCTATTTCATTGACCTCTTCCTCTTCATCCTCCTCCTTGTCCTCCTCATCCTCATTGCTGTCAGAATCCTCATATAAGTTGATGGTGGCCTGGACAGGGAAATTCTGTAGCAATATCTCCCCAGCACTGTACAGGTAGTCAAAGGAACGGGATTTAGGCCAGAAGAGCCTGCAGACAAAACAGAAACAGGGCCCCTAACTTAGGCAACTCTCAAATGTAGAGGGACCAATAGGGCCAAGAAGGAAGCAGACTTTGGTGCAGAACCTTTGCAATTGTTACAAAAATGGTTCCAGGGAGGAACATCACCTCTGATGGGCCTAAGGCTGTGGTAGAGGGTGGACCACCCCAGCATCTTTCAATGCCAGCGCTGACACCACTAACCACTCCATCATCCCAGCCCTTCCTTTTTTTACCAAGGATTCTATCATTGGTGGGTTCACAGGATTCTATCCTTAGGGCTCAGTGACAGGGAAGGCCTCTCGGGAAAGTCACTTTGGCCTACTAAATTCCATAGTCTCTTTCCTCCTGTGTCATGGCCTTGTCATGAGCATACATAGTGATCGTGGCTGTTTGTCACATTCTGAACTTGAACACCAGAGGCTTACCTGACAGGATGATGGAACTCAGACTCAGCCTTGGTGGCCTCAGCAGCTGTTGCCCCACCAGCAGCCTGTCCAAAGCAAAAGCTAGCATGTGGCTTAACTGCCTCTCCCATATCAAGGGTCAGAGATCTGCAGGTTCTGACGATCTTCAAAAGACTCTAGGCATCTCTGAGATCCAGCCACCTCCCAGCCCTGCCCTACAGCAAGGGGTCTGTCTTGGATCTGGTTAAAAAACAAGTAGCAAGAGTCATGGGGGTTGTTTTCTTCCCTGACCCTGTTCCAGTGCCTGTTTGGAGACTGTCCAGGGGACAGAGTTCTCTTAGAGGACAAAACATTCATGGAGCAGAGCAGAAGAGCACTGGGGCAAGGTATCAGGAGACCTGGATTCCAGCACCATCTCTACCACACACTCTGAGGCCCCCAGGTCCCTTACCCACTCTAAGCTTTCATCTCCAGTCTCATTTGTCATGGAAACCTTAGCCCTGCCTTCCTCCCAGAGCTGCTGTAGGGATAAAATGTGACCAAAGTTGGCAAGATGCTGCCCCAGGTCAGCAGCCTTGGACTGGAGTCAGGGGACGTCTGAGAAGGGACGTGGCTGTCAGTGCTGGTGCAAATATGTCCCAGGGTCTCCAACTCACCCAGTCCACCAGCACCCTCACCTGCCTTCGTTGGTCGTTTATGGAGGATAGCCAGGGTCTCCAAAGACCAGTTTCTCTAGAACAAACAGAAAAGACCAATTGGTAGATGAAGAGACCTAAACACTGACTCTTCTGATCACAGAAGTGGCCTCCTAAAGGCTTGGCTCACAAGCCATCTGCTGCAGAATACCTTTGGTCTCCTGACCACTGAACCAAGGCTGTGACAGATACCCCTCGTCTCTATCCCACTGTTTTGTGATTGTCTGTCTGAGCCCCTTAAGCGAAAAGAGATGTATAGGCGTAGCTGAACCTTCAACCCCTGTACTATGCCTTGTACACAGGAGGGACTTAACTGTTGAATGTGAATGTGAAATATGTGGAGGAGAGAATGCCTGTTGTATAGGGAGCATCTTGCTGCCTGCTTCAAGTAGTAGACAACACAATCCTGCCAGTTTCCTACCTGGAGAACAGGCAGGCCCTAGAGTACTCCTAGGTCCATTGCTTCTCCTCTCAACTTCTAGAGCCAAGGAAAAGCAAATAGGAAACTTGTGGCATGCTCAGGACAGAAGTAGCACTCCAACCAAAGGCCTCTTTAGACTTTGTTCCTTTTACCCTATGCCACCTGCCACCATCTAGGTCCCATAGTCCAGGTTGCATTATGCCCTGTTTCCACAGCAACTTTTCCTGTTCCCTCAGGAATTGGACAAACTAGCCCATGAGGG